GAATAATGCTGTGAAAATTGGTTATGTTTGTGGAAAGGCAGCTGAGTGACTTTCAAAAGACTAAAGACACCTCTGATATTCTAATTTCCTAGAAACAGTTGAAACAGCAAGTTTACAGCTTCCTCTGCTGCAGTAGTGTTACACCACAAAGGAGTCGTGTATAAGATAAACTTTCCACATCCTGTTATTTGAAAGCAGCCTTGAAAAGTGCCTCTCACGCTAGCATCTGCATGCAATGCATGGAGAACCCCTTCTTTTGTTCTTAAAAGAAACCTAGACTTGTAAGACTTTGTGACCTTTATATACATATAATATTCATATGTTAATATTTATATATGACCTTGAAATATGGTGTTCACTGGGCATGTAAAGATACAGTTCATTGTGGGATTGTTCTGGGATATTGTCACAGAATATTTTTTCAATTAAACTATAAACTATAAAATTTGCAGTTTTACTTTTTTATTTAATATGAGGATTTACAAATCAACAAGTCAAGCAGCCACTGTGCAATGTTTATAGCTGGATGTCTACCTGGTTAATCATCTTGGCCATATTATACTAACAAGAATCTAGCAAAGATCATTAACTTAGATTATTTCAGACTAGCTACCAACAAAAGGTAGTCTTTGCTGGATTTTTTTACAGGGAGAATATGTAAGTTTATGTAAGTTAGAGTAGAATAAATTAATTGTTCTGAGGTTACTTCATATTTAATCTTTTACTTCTCTTTTTAAAAACAATTTCAGAGTAACCATGCATTTCAAGTTGTAAACCAGATGAAACCATGGTTAAAATTCAAGAGACTCAATTCTCAATTTTCAAAGCAATATGTGCTCCAAAAAAGTACACTTCTGGTGCTTGATCATGTGCTCAGATCAGTGACTGTATATTTCAGACATTGTGTGTAGTGAAGGCCAACTGCATTATTATGTACTACCTCCTGAGACCAATAGAAATCCCTGTTTTACACAGCTCAAGGAGCCCAAGGAGTATGATGGCCTATGTCAAGGGTGAACAATTCCACAATTTTTAGACAGTGTTTTGCAGATTTGTGAACCTCTGCCCATCTTTGTTTCCAAGAGACTCTCTAAACTGCTCTTTTTATATCCAGTCATGTGTGTTAGTTGCACATTGTACCTCCCGCTGTTTTTTATTAGTACCCCTTACTTTTCCAGCCTTTTGTTGCCCCGTCCCAACTTTGAGATGCATTGCTGCCATCAGGTTCTAAATGAGTTAATGTTTTTCATGAAATGGTAAAATGTCTCACTTTAAGCATCTGATATGTGTTCTTTGTTCTATTGTGAACAAAATATGGGTCTATGAAATTTGCAGATCATTGCATTATGATTTTATTTACATTTGTTTAAATTTTACACAGCATCCAAACTTTTTTGGAATTGGGATTGTATATCATATTTCATGCACCAAAAACAAACAAACAAACAAAAAATTACCAGTAGAGATAAGCAGCCACAGGTTCACAATTCTGTATACTGAAGTAGACAATTCTTTAAAGCATGTCAAGACATAAAAATTTGAATCCATTGCCTCTAAGTATGGCATCTTGTTTATTTGTTTCCTTTCATGTTTTGAAATAGTTCTAATAATAATAATAATAATAATAATAATAATTCATTCATCCATTTTTCAATCGCTTGATCCAGATAGGGTCGCAGTAGCAGATAGGCCCCCCCGCAACTTCCTCCAGCTCATTCCAAGGGACTGCAAGCCACTCCCAGGCCAACTTGGAGATATAATCCCTCCAGCGGGTCCTAAGACGAACTCGGGTCATCTGCAAGAACCAGAGACGCCACACTCCATCCTCCAACATATAATGCCCTCCCGACCTTGACTACGCTCTGACATTGTGTCCCCAAACAGGACTGGAGACAAGGCACATCCTTGGCAGAGTCCAGCACTCACACTGAACAAGCTTGACTTAATGCCAAGTATATGGACACAACTCTCACTCCAGGAGTACAGAGACCGAATGGCCCAGAGTAATGGCCCCAGCACCTCATACTCCTGGAGAACCTCCCACAGAAGATCTCAGGAGCCATAAGCCTTCTCCAAGTCCACAAAACACATGTAGACTGGATTGGCAAACTCCTGTGCCCCCTCAACAATCGGTGCGAGGGTGAAAAGCTGGTCCCTTTTTCCATGGCCAGGATGGAACCCACATTGTTCTTCCTCAATCTGAGGTTCGACTCCTCAATTCGAGGTTCATAAACTTTCCCATGGAGGCTGAGCAGTGTAATACCCTGGTAATTGGCACACACTCTCCAGTCCCTTTTATTATAATAATAATAATAATAATAATAATAATAATAATAATTAGTCATTTTAAAAGACCACTACTAATAATTACATGATTATAACAATTTTTCTGCTTCCTGTATATTGATCAGGAGACTTGTGTCTCTTATGCCACAAATAGCTAATAATGGAACAATCATAAAAAGCAATTATGTTAGCAGAGCTTGTGATTATTTGTATTCCCTTTAACCTTTTTGTAAAGCCGCTCCTACAAAAAGCACTGCATGGGAGACATTTGCGTCATCTAGCTGCTGACACTGTCCCATGCATTCCTGGTGTTCACTGCACAAAGATTGCATATAAAATGTACATTTTTTAAGTTCACTCAATTTTTTTTTTCAGAATTTTCTCATCCTTTTTCTCTTTCATCCATGCATCTCTAGATTTAATCACCTTTTGTCACATCTGAATTCTTTGGCTCATTGCTGAGAAATGTTGTGTTTGTTCGAGATCAACTATTAACTGTTAACTGAAAATAAGGACATTAACAATTTTTTACTCAACTTGTCACAAGGAAGAACAAAGGAAGAACTTGCATTTAAAATGGCATGGCAGCCCAGTACATGTACCTTTCATGAATTGATTTTAATGTAATCTAATCTTGAAATAGAAAAACAGAACAAAACCCTATTTAACTATTTTAAATGATATAAATATCATTGAATTAAGGAAAGCAAGCTGTTTTCTACAATATAAACTAAACAGCATGTAAAAATGAGCTGAGTCTGTGAACCTATGTTTTTAACTTACAGGGGCTGGCTAGCTCCTGAAACTTTGGCGCATTGCAGTATCAGATGATATGTGAACAGCTAACTGAGCACAACAATAACACAAAAGTATGTAAGGCACTTTTATTTTAAAATGATGAGCTGATGCTGTCTGATGCATTGACCATCGCACTGAATATAACGAGCATAGCAGAATGTGCAGCTACTCTGGATAACAACAAGGGCCCACCGCCAACCAAACATCCTATTGCCAGACCCCAGCCAGAGTGAAATGCAGCAGCCTGACACTGTTATGCAACTGGGATTATGACAGCATGTTCACAGCAGCCATGTCGCAACTGCAAATCAAGGTCTCACACCACAGGAGCCCAGACCTGCCCAGCTTGTGGACAGATATACCACAGCTGTAGTAAGCTAAATAATTTTGCTCATGTATGTCGTTATGTTCCACCTAGGTCAGACCACCAAACCCCCCGGCTTGCAACTAGTTATCCACAAGGTCAACTCAGGGCTGGTAGCTTTCCTAGTCTAACACACCCAGCTCAGACTTGAAAATTAGTAGGTGAATTTAATCAAGGAAATGGAGCAAGGAAAAAAAACCTAATTTGCAGGGCTGGAGTGCTCCAGACCAACAATATAGAAACATTGTTTTTAATGCATATATACTCCTGTTAGACTTAAACCAAAGACTTAAATCAGACTTAAATTTGAACTGAAATACTGCATACATTTATCTAATTATTAGAACCACACGACTGGGAGGCAATGGCCTAAGGTCAGCAATTACCCACTGCACTTGTTGTAGTTAATCAAGTGCAAACGGCACTTGGTGACCAGTGTCCTTTCTTTGTAGTGTTTGCATGTTCTCCCCGTGTCTGCGTGTGAATGTATATGTCTGTCTGTCTGCCCTCTGATGGACTGGCAACACCCTGTCTAGGGTGTATCCTGCCTTCTGCCCAGTGGGTGCTGGGATAGGCTCCAGCTCTCCCTGTGACCCAGAAGGATAAGTGGCTTAGAAAGTGTGTGTGTACTTCTGCTAAACTTTTTTTTTACTTTTTTAAATACAGCCTTTTCTAAAACCTCTGGCTGCTCATCATTTACGATCCACTAAAAGACCTTCTGTGGCTCATAAGGCTCAGTTTAAAAAAAACATAAAGAGCAGAGTGCTTGGACCCTGCAGATTGTCACCAGCATCTTTATTGTAATGTAACCTGTAGATAGCACATTAGCTGTAGCTGATGTTGCAGCAGCCTGTAGAAATCAACATGTTCTGTGGGTTTCAAAAGGCATAAATTTGTTGTATGGCTTATCATCAGGGTCAGCAATGATTATTTGTATTAACCCGTAAGTATTAACCCTTTTGCATGCACCATTTGAAAGCTGTTGACAATTTGTCAAGAAATCAGAATATTCCAATATATAACTAACTTTATTGCAGTGAAACAGAAATCAAAACAAATTAGGACAGACTCGCATCACAATTCCATACGTAAACATTAACAGATTATTAACCACATATATCTTAGCTGAAAGGAGAAAGTTACTCTACAAAACCATTAGCATAGGCAAAATAGATCAATACATCTTTTTCATTAAGATGAAGTTGGCAGACTCTACCTGGCTCCAAATTCCTGTCTCTTGTATGGTGTCTTCTCAAGCCATAATCTGTCCAAAACTTACTTATATTATCCGCAAAACAATGTGCCCCAGTGTGCATAGAAATCTCAGCATATGTTGCCCCATCCTTGACCAAAGTTATAATTAAATCATGAAATGGTTTTCAGTTTCAAAGCTTCCCCATAAGCCATATTATTAAAATAGTCTCATACACATATGCAGTATTCTCAGGTTATAATAGCTTACAATATTGCCAGCCTTTACACTAATAGGCCTTAAACAAGACACAGGGAATGAACATACGAACAAATCACAGCACCCTAAGAAACCCCACCCTGTCACACTAATAAATTAACTTCTCCCTAAATTAAACCTCTTATATACATAATAAAATTATCTCGAACCTGGTTAAAGTTCCTTCAAGAATTATTCAGATTAGCCATGATACTTTCTATTGAGGCCGTTTCAATTGTAGACCCGAGCCGTTCCATAACCTCTGGTTTCTGTGAGCTCTTACATCTACACAAAATATTCTGTTTGTGGAAAATAATTCTATCAGAGCTCCCCGAATTCTGCCTTAGTGACTCTTTCTGGCACCAAAGACTTGTCTCCAAAGAGGCACAACTGTGGTGGTTCTGGAAGTGGCTGTCCAATCCATTTCTCTATTAGTGCAACTCTCCTAATAATAATAACTATTTTCCTCTGTTTCAAAATGTATGGTGCCGTGGTGATAACAGTGTTAAACATCTGCAGCCCAAACCATATTTTTCATATTTTCATATTTTGTTTAGTTTAGGCATGTGGTAGAAAACAACTTGCTTTTCTTAGTTCAAAAATATGTATATCATTCAAAATGGGAAAATACGGTTGTTCTCCTTTTTCTTTTATTGCTGGAAAATAAATGGAAAAGCCAATTCAACAAAGGTACACGGACCCTGCCTGCGTTCGTTTTTTCATATTCGGAGTCAGTTAAGCAAAGCCAGTTCCCTGTTATTTTATCTGCTGCCTTCACCAGATCCTCCATCACCTTCATCACTGGCCCCTGGATGATGAATCTGCGAGTCTGAACCTCAGCCACTCTGGACGTCCCACCCATTTCACTCAGGACGTGGACGGCACTTCTCACTTTCTCCTGGAACTCAGCTACGGCGTCTCTCTGCTGATTCACTTTTTCAATCTCTTCATGGATCCGGTCTGCCTTTTTATGTTTTTGCTTGATTTTGCGCTCAGTCTTAGAAATCTTGGACTCGTAGCCTGAGACTTTTCTTTTGTATTTTTTCTTTTCTTTCTTTGATGCTTTCACTTCCTTTTCAGCCACTTTGATAGCTTCTGTAGCTTGGGCTATTTCTGCTTCTCCAACAGCTATCATGATGGGACCTGCATGGTGAGAGAAGAAACAAAATTTTAAGTTTATTTAAAATTTTACATTTTAAATTTGTTTACCATCAAAAATAAAGTGTATGTAAAATGGTTCAAGTTTAGTGATTGTATTGTTATATGAGCAATGAGATTCTCACCGGCAATCCATCCGACTATGGGTATTAATGTCACGCCCCATCCAACATCCCTCACAGTCGTAGCTGTGTCTCTCCTTTCTTCCTGTCTCTGAAGTGCTTCTCTTGTTGTGCTTAGGTTTGTTTTGGCCAGCTCCAGAGCACCTTCAGAATCACTCAGCAATTTTTCATTAGACGTCTGTTTCATTTTCAGGTTGTCTAACATTTCTTGTGTAGCAGTCATCTTCTGTTCAAGTTTTCCCTCATCACACGTAAGGATTTCAATTCTTTCATCCAGACTCCTCAGCACTGTAGCGGCTGCCTGTTCTGACTGCTCCAGGCTCTGCTTGGCCTGCACAATCTGCTCTCTAATGTAGTTGTAGTTGGAGCACTGGCCACTAAACGGATCTACATCTGCTTCAGTGAGGGCTTCGCAGACTCTTTTGATGGAGTGGATGCCTTCTTTTAGAGGCTCAGTGAATGCTGCATTTGAGTTCTTCACATTAACACTCCGGAAAAAAACATAAAAGAGTATAAGAGAAGAAAATATACATACAGTTACAAAATAGAGCACATAGACAAAAACATATTTTTATTTGTGACACCAATTTCCTGGAAAATCAAAGAATGTTTGTATATGTATTTCTAATTGACTATTAATGATTTAAATTGTTTATTAACATTCATAAATGTAAAACATCAATTAATTTATTTAAATGTAACGTTTATTTTAATATTCTGCTACTTTGTATGTGGATGTTATTCAACTTACTCAGAAGAACGGGGTTGGCTCATGTTGATCTGACAGAGAAAGAGGAGCAGAAAGTAAATGTGTTATCAAAAAGAGAGACAGTGAGCCCGTCTGGAGGCCACAGTGAGATATACTCATTATAAAATGTAATATGTATATATATATATATATATATATATATATATATATATATATATATATATATATATATATATGACATATAATATATTATATATATTAATGTGTCTAAAAGACTCACTAGATATGTTATTATGGCTACCTCAGTATGTCCTTTCTGTCTTAAACATCTCTTCTCATGATTCTCATGAGCTTAACAGTGGCATGGCTGAAAACAATGACACAGTTCCTATCTGTAAAGCCCTTGAGTTCAGTCAATGCAAAAAGATGATAATAAGATATAATCAAAAGATTGATAACAATGACTTTTCTCACCATTTGATAATGTTAAGGGTTGCAATATGTCTAAAATCAGTTATGCTCTCAATTTTACTAAATCAAAGATGCTGTGTTTTTAAATCAGCATGACAACAATTTGAACCAAAAATGACTAAGCATATATCATTATAAAGAGCTAGATTTCATCAATGTTACATGGTGGCCTTGTAATATTTTACAATCAGTTTAAAGAATGAAATCTTACCCTACTATTAGTCCTTTTAGATCTCGTTCACCCAAGATGATTCTCTACCTGAGACTAAATAAGTCCATCCTTTTAAAGTGCAGCAGCTCTGTTTGTGGGCTGGGCTTTTAGATCCTGCAGACAGTAAATACTCTGTGACACTCATGTGTTCCTTCATACCTTCTCTTCTATTCTGGTCAGCAGAGAGCTGAGAGAACTTCATCCACACCTTCACTGAAAATTATTTAAATATCAAGGTAGGACGGCTTATTTAAATATGTCATTATTATTTACTGTATGCTTTTTATTTTTTAATATTTGCAGCACTTTTATTGAACAGCACATTTAAAAGTCTGTCCATTAACTGGATTAGGCTCTTTTCCAATTGTGCTGATGATTAGATGCTCATTTGGGGTTCTAATAAGTTACTATTTAAATTGCAGATAACCTTGTCAGCATTATTGTATTTTCTTGCTTACAGTTTGCTTTACTTTCTACATATTTACATAGCATAATTTCTTTGTCATTCTTTGGCGACTCCTCCTCATGTTTCACATGATTGGCTGTTTGTCATAAATGTAACTATGTCTTGTGCACTTTCATCAGGTTTACTCATGTATATATATATTGCTTACATGTACATGTCTCTTTTTTACTTTGTTTTAGTAGGAACTATGAATTCCAAAATTGCAAAGACCTGCCAAAGCCTGACCACAGCTGAGGAGATGAGAAACCAAACCAAGCTTGTGATGCAGCCTTATGCCAACTGGGAGGAGTACCTGACTCCTGCACCGCTCTCCATAGCCATCCTGGGAGAGCTGGTCTTCATCTCTTCCAAAACTGATTTCTCCATCAACAAAAACCCACCAAAGAACGGCTACAAGTACATCAAATACCCAGATTCATTTCGTGCCTGTCTCATGCAAGTGTGTAACTCTGGCTGGTGGGCTTTCAATGAGGCCCACAAGAACATGGACCAGATTCGGCTCCACACCATGGCTGTTCCAGACTATATGAAGACTGCAGTGAAGATTCTGTTCCAAGGTAATGATGAAGTTGTACAAGCACACCTTCCTGACCAGCTGGAGAACATTCGTGTTATTGCAGATGACTGTCTTGAACTGGCCAAATCAACAGAAAATCACTTCATTGATGTCATCAATATTATCCAAGAGCTGCTGGAAGCCTGTATAAATGCTGAGCACTTTTACGGAGAGGAGCTGGAGGCAATCAAGAAGAAACTGGAGGAGAATAAAATTAGGAAACAGTCATCAGAAGAAGCTGCTAAACGGTATGAGAAGGCAGTTAAAATCATGGAAGAGGAGCTGAAGGAAGCACATGACACCTACAAAAAAGCAATGGATTCCCTCCCTGGTGGATGGAACATGATAGCTATGGATTTTGTTGGAGCTTTGAGTGAGAGTGTCACATCTGTAGTCACTGGCCTGACAGCTGTAGTGGCTCAGCCAGTGTTTCAAATAATGAATGCTTCAAAATTAATTACAGAGACACTGAAAGCTGCAAAACATAAAACCTCTTCTGCAGATGGAGTTGATAAAATGAACATCTACAGCAAGTCTGCAGAAATTCTGGCATGGACAGTGCATATTCAACAGTATGTGCACAACAACAACATTGACTGGAAGGATCTGTATGATCAGAAGAACAAATCTACAAAAACAGACTTTGTAAAAATGCAGTTCAAAAGAATCAACAGCAGCTTAAAAAAATTCCCAGACTGCAAAGCAAAGCAGCATGCCCAAGAGCTATGTGAAGAGGCAATTAACATCTGTGAAGTACTGGCAAAACATGCACCAGAAGGGAAATGTGAAGATGATGAAACAGAGGTGTTGATCAAGAGAATCAGAAAACTGACAGATTCAGCCCGCAGTTTTGACTGCAAAAGCAAAGATGTCACAAAAAGTCCTTCCCTGATTCCAAAACCACCCATGTTGTCTAAGGAAGAAAGTCAATTTGAAGGCATGAGTGCTTCTAAAAGGGAAACAGAGAATGCCAGGTTCCGCATAGAGCAGAGCCGAGCTCAACTGGACAAGACCAGAGAGATCTATGAGAAGAGTGTGGAGAACATGGAGAAAAACCAAAAGGAACTGACTGAAATCCTGATCACCATGAGGAACTGTGAAGTCAAAGAGATCGACTTTAACACCACCATACAAATGCTGGTCAAAGGGATGGATGCCATGGGGAGAGTGAAGGAGCAGTGGGAGAAGATGGTGCGCTTCTTTCAGATGGTGTCCAACATTGTGAAAGTCAGCCTGACCAAAACTCTCAAAGATTTTGCCTCCACATCTGAGAAGACTCAGTCACTTTCCTACAACTCAAAGCTCTTCTCTAAAGACCTGCTGTACAATCAAGCATTTCAGGCCACTAACATTGCCAGCCTCGTCCACATGATCTCAGCAACCTACACTGAAGTGTCTGACAAGTATCTCATGGATCGTGTCAGCTCACTGGGGAAACTTATGGCCATGGACAAGGAAAAAACAGAGTTTGAAAAGGAGCGTCTGCAGTTGCAGAACTCCTGTGACAAGGCTCAGAAAGGTATTTTACGCCTTGTTCTCAAGAACAAGGCTGAGTTTGAAAAGAAGAGTGACTCAAGAATTAAGAAGATTGACAAAGAGTTGCTGGCCATTCTTCCCTCTGCTGCCCCAGAAGAGATGAAGAGCATTCAAGCCGCCGTCAAAAGCGGATTCACAAAGGAAGAGGAAGCAGATTACTACTGAGTGTATTTGTAAAAGTCTTCCTCATTTAGTGGCAAAATTAAATGAGAATAATAATGACAAGATTGCCTTGATTTTCCCCACATTAATGTTGCTTAACAGATAATTGATAATGTATATAATGCATGTAATGGATAATATCTGAAAGATAACTAACCTGTAGTCTCTAGGCTTCTCATATTATTGATTCTTTACTTTATAATGCATTGTGTGTGTTATATGAATACACCACTGTTAGCTTTGTGTAGTGTGACAGACATATAGAATTGCTTCATTATTAAAATTATTGATATCCTTGCATATTTACTTTTTTGCTTAGTCATAGTCATTTAAATCAGTTTGCATTTTGTAATGATTAATAAACTCTTGTTTATGATCAAATGAGACTTACTGTCCTCATTCCAGTATTAAAACTTTGAGAATGTATTCTCATATGTATCTCTGCCCAAAAAAAAAACAATAATGAATAGAAATGAATAAGATCCACCAGATGGCAGCATAACATACCTGTACAATGACATCAGTAAAATTAATTTCATGCAGCATGTTATGTATGTGTGTATATATGTATGTATATATATATATATATATATATATATACACACACACACACACACGTGCCAAAATTCACCTATGAAACAGATAAATCAAGAAACTGGTGAGTAGGAAGCCGACTTATGTAGTATTGTAATGGCAATGGTAAGAGTTTTGTGACTAACCCTAGCAGAATTGAGGTAGGTTAGGAAGGTGGGTGCTGGTCAAACATAACACTAACTTAAAACTGCATTAAGCCTTCATCATTTTTTGATAAACCTAGTTCATCAAGTTCATCATCTTGACATTATAGTATCACACTACATTGCTTCTTTCATTATGACATTTTTTTTGCCAAATAGGAGTGAAATACCTCACAATCAAGTGTGTTTTGAAATTCAAGCTAATATTACGTCTTGTTTTGAAGCATGATGTAAACTGGAAGCAAACAGACAAAAGAAGTTCAGGAATGAGTCTGATTAGGCCGAAAAAATTTTAAAGCCATTTTATAAAATTATGGGAGCAAGCAAACTGTGCTGGACCTCCAAGGACAATTTTAAGTTTTATAAAGGCTTTACACAGCATAAAATAAAGCATTTAGGGCTCATCAAAAAGGACACTTTCATTTTGATGAAAGCGGCCTTCCATGCAAGCCGGTGTAGGCAACTCCCACCTGCTAACTGAATCTCCCCCATCCCACAATACTACTAAGCTAGGAGGTTAAAGGCTAGCACATCTTTTTGAACTACAGCTAACGCTGCATCTTTGAACAGCTCAACACACTTGAAGGAGAACACTAATCTCCAGTTCTGTCACATCAGCTTACTGACCCCTGTGCTGGATAGCATCATACTAAGTGATGACCAAATGCCACTCCCAGCCTCAGATGTTAGTTGCATTGCTGGAGATCATACTCTCGATTCCACCACTCAGGAGCATTCATTCCATAAATTCTATTTATTCTATTCTAAATTTAGCTTGTACAGACAAATATAGGCAAGAAAATCATCTTTAATAATAATAGTTGTTCCAGTGAAATCCTGCTCACTCTGTTTTCATAATGTACCTGTAATCTGATTCTGTGATCTGTCCTTTTTCTGTAACTGTAGCAGAATATGGTTGCTTTTTCTGGTATCCTGATTAATGATGTTATATGTAATCCAATATTACCCAACTGCTTCTGCTGTCATTCCTTTTCTAAAACAACAGGTCTGGATACAGCCATCCACAAACATTGTCAACTCATTTCTAATGTCCACTTCATAGCCAAGCTGTTGGAAAGGTTGTAGACTCTCAAAAGCAGGCTTTCTGTGTTAGTATCTAGTTAGTCTGGTGCCCTTAGTATTCTTATCCTCTTACATTAGTTCAAGGGATCAGTCATCTCCTATCCTCATCATCTCTTTTTCATTATCTACATGTTGGCCCTTGGTCAGATACTTCACTGTCATCCATGGTCTTTATTTTACTCTTACACTGTTAGTGCCCAAATCTATGTAAGCATCAAGGCTACCTCCACCCTGCCAACATAACCCATTTTGAAAATTTTGGACTCAAACTGTTTTCTAGTTTAACTTGTCTCTTACTTGTTATTCTTCATATGGCCTAGTTTTTTTTTTTTCTTGAGAGAGAGGCTTATATTCCATTGAATAAAGAATGGGAAATAACTTTGGTAGATGACATAATCTGTTTTAGGGAACATCATGAACAAAGAAAGAGAGTCTGGTTAACCTTTTTATAAAAGAGGTTTTAACTTTCCCTGCATTTCTTTCTGTAGATCTTGTCCACTGATTTTCCAAAATTTCTGCATGATTCAGTAGTTGAGATGTAAACAAAGTCATTCTCAGTGGTTTGATGTGAAATGCTTAATAGTAGAGAAACATACAGTCATGATTTCTATAATTTTATTTAGATAGATAATGATAAAATAATGATAAATCTGAAAAAAAAAATTTTTTTGTGTAGGGGTATTATTTTTCTCATGGTTTACATGATTTGCATATCATTGCATTCCATTTTTATTTACATTCTGCACAGCGTCCCAACTTTTTTGGAAATGGGGTTGTACATAAACACATGAATGATCAGCCATTAGAGTCTTCCTGGAAGAACTTTTGCCAAAGCTTCCAGTTGTATCAGTTGTATTTTCCCATTAGAAATAAACATTTTACTCTCAAAAGCACAAATAATAACTCTAAATGATTCAGTCACTTTTTTCAGGTCAAACAATAATTGGGAAAGCTTTACATGCTTTCTGACACAGGAGAAGCACAGGTTGTAATAATCATGCCAAAAAAACCTACAAAGCCATAAACTACCATTCAAGGATTGGGAAGTCATATTAAATGGAATACTGGGTAACACTTTACATTGTGTTGACTAACTAACATGAAGTAATGCATTAGTTAACATGAACAAGACGTTCCTGTTTAATCTTATAATGGTTTGCATAATGTGTCAGGGGCTTAAGTGAATATACCTACCGCGATGGAAGATGACCACTTTTTTCTCCTTCTTGCTCTTCTTCCCTTTTCTTCTTTCCTGTCTATTCTTTTTTTTCTTCTCAAATGAGGAATCAGTGGTGACAGAATCAGAGGAGGACTGTGAAGAATCAAATGAGCTGGAATCTATGATGACTGCTTTTTTCTTTCTTTTGATTTCATCCTCCTCATTCTCCTCTTTGAGCTTCTTGTCTAAAAACATCATCAGCAACAAGAATTGAGTAAACAAACATGAACACTTTTAATTTTTTTATCTCTGGTATTAGAAGTCATAACTTGTCAATAACAATATAAACAGAAAAATCGAATCCTACTAGAATGTATGTGGATACGTTTGAATTTTGACTATTAACATATAGTGCAGAGATATAAATGGGGTGCGATGCATTTGAATACAGAATACAAACACAACTATTTCAAATATTAATGAAATAGCTTAGCAAACCGTTCTAAACTGAACATACCTTACAAGGTTAGTTGCAAAAATAGCTATCTGTGGCTTGACCTAAGAGCAACACCGGGTGTTGGGAATATAAGGGATTAATGCTTTGGAAATGCAGTGCATTGTGGGTATTGTAGTGCATGTTGTAGTAGTCGCCGGGTGCTGCAGTCTCGAGCAGCACGTAAAGTTTCCTCTTTCACTCCGCCGCTGCTTTTTTTTTTTATTTAACACGGTCACTCGGTTTTATTTTTGTGTTATGCCTAAGCTGTCTGCAATAAACACCCAGTACTTCGAGGTAAACCTGCCTTTGACCCATCTTTGCGGTGAAAATGAACTAAAGTTTGGGTATTACCCCAGAACTGGTGGAAAAGCCGAAGCCGTTCTGGCCCAGGAGCTAGCAGGTGAAGCAGCTCCCCTGAGCCTCACGACCACGGTCGAAATCAGGAAAAGATAACACAGGGTGGAAAGTTCGGTTCATTTTACTGAACCGGTTCTTTCGAACCTATGAATCGAGTGTCTGATTCAACTGATTGAATGATTTCTTGTTATGGTTTTATAATGTCCAGATGTATATTTGATATTATAAGATTGTATGTATGATTAAGCTTATTACGCTGGGCATATACATTGCAAGGAAAAGTTTGGTTTGGCCGAATATCTGAATCGGTTCCAATGATTCTTTGAAGCGAAAAGGATCGGTTGGTGAAATGAATTGAACTTCCATCGCAACACATTTAGCTGAACCTCGATAAACAACTTACCTCAGCTGGCTGGACCAGGTTATTGCCATCCGTTTTGCCTCACTTACTGCCTGAATCCTCATGTTTTTCTTGGTCTTTTTTGGTCCGTTTGCGAGTAACTCGTGCACTCTGCATGGTAACTGCAGAGAACTTGTAGAGAGAATTACCACTCTGCAATGTCTTCCGGTTTTCTCAAATGCTAGAGGGAGCTCCCAAGATGGGACTGAGTCCACAATGAACGGGCTCATATGGAGCATTTGAGCAAAATCATAGTTTATAAATGCTTAAACATTTTTAATGTAAATTAAAATGCATTCAGTTAATGAACACAGAACAGCATAAAACATTTTAACACCGCTGTTAGATTTTTAAAAGCTTGTAAACTCGAGTTATAGGAGTTATAAAACAGCGTCTCATGTATGTTTATGATGTCAGTGAGCGTGAACAGCCAGTGAGCTGCTCCGCTCGCCAATCAATCATCACTCTCTAGCAGTAATGCCCGCCTCCTGCTGTCTAAAACCCAGGTAGAAAAAAGGAAATATATAGATAAGATTTCCTTGTTTTTTTAGTGAAATACATCCTTCTACTTTCTAAAATTAAAGAAAAGTTCTGGGAAAGTGATTAGAAACTATTTTAACTTTTCATTTTTAGCCTTGAGCACCATTTACTCCCATTCATTTAGGACTCACTCGCGGGCGCCCTCTGCTGTTTGGCAGTCATATTTTTGATATAACGGGTAGAATAGGAAGCGGCCAGGCTCCTCATAAACCAGCTCTGGTAACTGCACCGTGAACACTCCGAACTTCCTAATAGAAATTCATCTGCGCACGCAAGATGCAGGAGCAGTTTCACCTGTGATTGGCTGGTGAGGATAACTGGTCTAAACCGATTGGCTGGAAGAAATTAGGAGTTTTGCGCTTCAGCACAGACGGTCTTGGCGCATACACTCCAGTAAGATACCAGCAATGACACTCAACATAAAGTTGCTTAGATTACTCGATGGGAAGAAAACCAATAGATCTACATCAAATGGCTCATGAAGAAACAATTGCTCATGGCCAAAACTAGATGTAATAGGTGCAATGGATGAACATAGCTCCACATTTTCTTAAAAAGGACCACTGTATATGGTAATTTATTCATTCTGAAAAATGTTTTATATCACTTTATCATATTAACAATGCATGATACAAAATACAAACTTAAAAAAAAATCCTTTAGGATTTGCAACAGACAGCCACACAAAGGGAAGCTATGCACCAAATCCATTAGGAAAGAATCCTTATTTGAAAGATCCTGAATCAATTTGGTTTCAGGGATGAAAGTCATATATAGGTATGTTATAGAGCAAACATGTTTATCAACAGCAATAGATGGTGTTATATGTATATATGTCTGATACTGTACTGAGAGCCTTCATTACAGAAAGCTCTGCCTTGTTGCTGCACCTTGGTGTACAGTTAGTACTCTTTCCCTTCATGCAGTGATTTATTTTATACCAATGCAACCGCTTTCAAATACAAAATTTACAGGGTTTCAAAAATCAGAATCAGAAATCAAATCAGAGAGTATGTGTCAATGATATTTCAGCACTTTAGTTTGGTTATCATATGGTATCAGATTGAAAATGTAAATCTGATCTGATGAGCAGTTAGAGACTCTAGGTCATCTGTTGATGCTCTTTTGTGTTAGTTATCCTCTAGTCCTCCATCAGTGCTCATTTTTTGACCACAGAGCTGCTATTGTCTGGATTAGAGATGCATGAATTGCCCGATACCATGTTCATTTACTCATACTCGTAATCACAAACGAGGCTCCGATACCAACATCCGATACCTTGTACCTAGTGCACAGCTGTTATCATATAATGGAAACTGTCTTACCAAAGATGCACGACACGGTGCAAAAGCATATCAAGAGCTTGTTGCATGACGTTACAGCCTTAAGCTTTACTACGGACATCTGAAGCAGCAACGTCTGTCCAATGTCTCTCATTAGCCTAACTGCACAGTGGATAGACGATGGTTTCATTCTCCAGCGAGTTGTACTGCACGCAAAACAATTCCGTGGGTCCCACACAGGCCAAGCAATAGCAAGCACATTTGAGGAATTGCTCAAGACTTGGGAAATTCCTAAAAGTTCTGTCCATGTTGTGGTGCGTGACAATGCTAAAAACATGATAAAGGCAATGGATGATGCTGGACTGCCTAGCTTTTCATGCATTGCACACACACTTCAGCTGGCAGTAAACGAGGGTCTGCTTACACAGCGGAGTGTCGCTGACGCTGTGGCAGTCGGACGCAAAATTGTTGGGCATTTCAAACATTCTACTTTGTCGTATTCCCGCTTGGAAGACATTCAGTTGCAGCTCAACCAGCCAATTAAACGTCTCCAACAAGACGTGAAAACACGGTGGAACAGCACGTTCTATATGCTACAGTCTCTCATTGAGCAAAAACGGGCTCTCGGAATATTTGGGTCAGAACATGAGCTCCCCGACAGCCTCAGCCTTAATCAGTGGAACCTACTAGATAAGGCAATGACAATTTTGGCGCCATTCGAGGGGCTGACTCGACAAGTGAGCTCCTCTGATGCATTAGCCTCTGATGTGATTCCCGCTGTCACCATATTACAGAGACTGCTGTCCAAAGAAACCGATGAGGAGCAGGGGATCAAAACAATGAAACGCACTTTACTTACAGCTGTACAGAAACGATTTGCTGACGTGGAGCAAATCCAACTCTTCTCCACCGCAACGCTTCTTGATCCAACGTAACTAATGTGTGTGCATCTCATGTTACTAATTTATTGGGGTTGTAATGCAGGAAAATGCTAAAATAAAAGATCCAGAGATGAACGATAACGTTTTCTATTCTATTCTAAAATAACAAATTAATTAATTTATACTCTTTTAGTGTAGATTTTGTCAGTCCATAATTAGTTTACATTTTATTCTCTCGAGTACACTTTAACCCTAAGGTCGGTGCTTCTGCATGCGTGATGATGTCGCCAAAACATTCAACAAACTCTCATAAATACTGCTTTTCAAGTAGTCATCTGAAGCTGACATTTTATTATTCGTTAGATTATTATTTTCAAATATTTACAGTACTGAGTTTTTTTTCTCCTTGCTTATCTGGGTTTTATTTTTTAGATTTAATATAAACGCGCATGCACGCTAAAAATGTGACCCCTTGATACAAATCAAAAGTAAAATATATTTCTATATGTGTGTCTGTGTTCTTCACCATTGTTTCCTCACCGTTTGACATCATGGGATCACATCTTGCTATTTATTTGGACACCTATAAGATGTACATTTTCAGCAACATAGCCTATGTTCTCTTTTAGATATAAGGACCGTTTTTTCTCAAGCTCCAGCACTGCTGAGAATGCCAAGGAGAAAGTGATGCAGGAGCTGCAGAAAATATCTGGCAGAGACATAGGCCAACAGGAGAATGAGGAACCATCCGTCAAAAGGAACCTTTTGAAGGAAACTTTATTCCCTTTATCTTCATATATTGGTACGAGCATTAGTTAATGCGGAGCAATGTAATCTTATGGTTGTTAATATATGACTCATTCATTTGTTCCTGATAAATTATCTTCAGATTAATTATTCATTAGTAAATGCTTTAATTACTGTCAGATCATGTACCCTTAATATTGTTACCATAATTTCCAGGAAACATTTTACTGTTTCAAGGAAGCTGTTTTTGTGGAACTGTGTCTGAGAGACGGACAAAAGACAACTACACCACGAAGAGTCTAACAAAACTTACTTTCTCAGCTAAAATATACGGCCTTATGCAAACGTTCAGTGGGAAACTGGGAAGCTGGTGGCCTGATTTCTAACAAAGTGTGTTTACAGCTTGCTGTGGTGGTCAAGTGTTAAACCACAAAGCAGTGGACAAACAGTGCAGAAACTGAATATGAATTGCTG